ATCATATAATGGTACCGTCGGAAATTGAGTATATCCGTAATGTCGATATTAATCTTTCACCCAAAAAAAAATAATTTTAATAGAAGTGGCATTCTATAAATCTTAGAGGATTTTACTCTTATATATATGGCCTCAACAGGATTGCTTTGAAATCAAGAGAAAAATAATCTTAAACACAATTCTTAAAGATAAAAGAATTTCATATTAAATGTACAGTGCAAATCTATTCGTTCTTAATCTAAATTTCTTTTTATATATTACTTCAACTCAAAAATATATTTCTTCGGATTTAATAAATTTTATCGCATCCACACGAAAGAAAGATCAGAAAACTTTGACCGGGGTGCTTGTATGCATCTATAGATGTCTACTTTTAATGCTATATGAGATGTAAAACATCAGATTCGACTGAGATTGAACCCAGGTGTCTTCTCGCTTGTCAGACAACCGCTCTTCCCATTGAGCTATTTAAGACTTCATATTTGTGACATCTATATACCCAATGAAAAATGACTCGTTGATTAACGTCAAAATGATATCAAACTGACGTCGGTTTGACGATTTCAACGTCGATTTGATTGAAACGTCGACAGTAAATTGACGGTGGAAACTCTAAGCGTAGTTTCAACCAATCGTACACGACAGTACGCAGCGAAACAACAGTTCTTTGCGTCTCTCGTACTGCACGTAAGACGACATTATGCTTCAAATTAACATACTCCTCTTGATATAGAGGAACACAATTAGAATAATATCTCATAAATGCACGATAAATGATTCCCTTTAATGAAAGATGAATATGCTTTCTGTAAGATATTTCTTTTAGAACATGGGGTTAGAGGAAAATCCACTTTGTACGTAGAATACTTTTTTTTGAGTGTTGCATATGCATAGGTTTGCGCAGATTTTGGTAGGTAAGACTCTGACTTGACTATCATGTACCCATCGAGGAGACTGTTATACTAACCGTCGAATAACGATCGGTTGAAAGATATCCCCCTTCTCTCTCTCCTCCTTCCCTCTCTCTCACGCGCGCCCGCGCTGTCTCGGTCTTTTTACTTCGTCCATCCATCCACTTGTCCCTATCTGTTTAAGCGTCTGTCCCGTTCAACGCTATGTACACGTCATTCCACTCCTCCGCTCTTCAAGAAAATTGCAATGACGTTTGTCACGTTGATATTATTCTCTGACGTGTATCAAACTCTCTCGCGTATTTCCACGTATGCGAAAATACCTTGGAATCGCAGTTGATCGTCGACATCGATCGAGTACGGGTGACATATCGTCGAACGTGTGATCGAACAGAAAATCATAGAATCATTAAAGAGATCATAAAGGGCACGAATTTACCAAAAAATTATATCGAAAAACGAAAGATACGCCAGAATTGAAGAAACTTGGATCATATAGCAGTATTCGTATATATATATATGTGTAGACCGAAAACCGGATCTCTCGTGACCGTAATCACGCGCATCGTGTTTCACAAAATTCTGAGAAGAATTTTCACTCTAGTGAATGGAAAGGTAAAAACAAACGGCAAACACTGTTCGCGCGAGCGATTTGGAGAGAAATATACTCAGAAATATACTAAATCTGAAGGAAAATGCACAATGATAAGGTAAACAAATCGGATTAAATTGTAAAAGCGACTGAAAAAGCGCCTTGTCAATCGGAAATTCAGAGAACGTAAACTAAGCTCGTTCATTGAGAAATCTAGATTAATCGAAAGCTTCTCTCACGCACTTATATATTCACTCTCGATCTCGTATCTTTGGCATTCTTTAAAAATGTGGTTGATACACTAACCAAAAAAAAAGAGAAAAAGATACATAAGTGACTGATTTTATAGAATCACTGTATTCCTCCATATATGCTCTTAAATTTATAATCTTTTTAATTTCTCTTTTGACGCGGATCCATTTCGTAGCGGACTGTCATTTCTAACTGGGGATTCTTGCATTCTCCTGAAAAGTTATATACGATATCGTATAAACATCACGATATATCACTAATAATCAGCTAAAAATGAAATATTCGTTCGTATAAGTTTATAGATGACCGTTGCACTGCTTGTATTGCTACGCACGACTTGACAAGCCTGTATCTGTCGCGCGGTAAGCGATCGTTAGAAATTCTCGATAAATCGTCGTACGATACGTCGAATACGATACTTCGTAAACGGACGTAAACAGCGATAAGATCTTTCCGCAAAACGACCTACGTACGATCCTACTTATGAAGTAAACGTGAGAATAAGAAAATTCATCGTAACGTCGGTGATTGGCGAGCGAACGATCTAAGATTAGGAAGAAGACGCAGTTCCCATTTCGCTACGAATCAGAAGCTTTCTCTCACGCGAGCTTATTAGTCTTTAATTTGCCGGACTCGAACACTCCGATCGAATGTCAATTCGCAAGCATAAGTCGCGTGATTCCGTTTACAAAAACGGGCCACCTGCTCACGCGCTGCCAGACTGTCTAGGCAGAGAGTCGCACCGGAGAGTAATAGATCAAAATTGTAATAAATTAATGAGGAATTAGTATTGGCCGATTGACCGCGTTGGCACGACCTCTTGTCGGCGCGCTGTGCGAGCGCCATCGAGCGAACCCTCTCGCGCCGCGTGTGAACCTCAGCATCGCGTGGACCAACGGGGTTAATTAGTTCAAAGTGCCTCCCATCTGCGACAACGATGGTGTGTCTGGAGGACGCCCGCACGCGCGCGCTGCCAGCAGCCGGTCTGTCCCTGTTCTCCGAGCGATTTCAAACACTCGATATCATGATACGTGACCGCGCTACGTCGTCATTCGCGTGCTGCCGAGACTTCAGGGAGATAGTCGAAAAAGAAGTTCAAAACGAGTCGAGAAAAGCTTTATACTCATTTCAATCATTTCATTCATCCCTCTAATTATCACTCTAATTCCATCTCGCAAGTTTGTAAAATAACTCGGATATCGATATCAGATATGATGTAATGGATATGAAAAATTACTGCGAAAATATCGACAAGCTCCTCGAAACTCCAATTACAATTCTTTATAATATATTGTTCATGTATTTACTATATAACATAGTATCATCGAAAATTGCACTTGTTGTTGGGATACTGTATGCTAATGGATATAAAATTAATAAGATTCTTTAATGATTTTCCGAAATTTTGATATTGCTATTTCTAATCTTCTGGCAAAGTTTTCGTTAAATTATTATTAATATCTCGAGATTTATTACGAATATTGTAAAACGATATGGGACTTTTGTGTTAACATTTATGTAATCCATTCTATGTTATCGCGAAGTTTGAAAATGGTGATCCTTGTGTATGTGTGTGCATGCGTGCGTGCGTGCGTGCGTGCGTGCGTGCGTGCGTGCGTGCGTGCGTGCGTGCGTGCGTG